CCCCAGCCAGCCTGGGAAATTCTGGAAGTTGAAGTCCACCCGTCTTAAAGTTGCCAAGGTTGAGGAACCCTGCTTTAGAGGACAGAGGGTCTATCTTAACAGATTGCCCCATTATCTGTGACCTCTGCTGCAGTGGAATTCCTGCCTTCTGCATCCACAATGCAGCTGCAAAATGTCACAGCAGCAAGGACATACATGTGTTTTCAGTTGCCACCTTCTTCCTCAATATCCCTCCAAAACAGTGATGCACCATCAGGTAACACAAGTTGAAGTACCTCCGTTTTATCTATATTCCATCCAACATACCCAAGTCCTCTAAATGCCCTTATCCACTTTGCCACCAGGGGCAAGGTTCTGAAAGTGGCATTGAGGCTCTTCCTGGAAGGATTTACATTCCATTCAGAGGACAGGAACGTCATATCATATACAAGGATTCCATCCTAGATTGACGGCCTCACTCTTCCAAGTTTGGGCAGTAGTTTGCCAGTCACACAAGCTCAAAGCAAGGTTAATGTCCTTGCAAAGAGAAGACCTGCCTCAATTTCACCCATACCGTGTTACTGGAACGTGGTTGAACAGATGCGTTTTAATCACCACTCGGGGCCAGTGTCCTAACACACATAAACTCTATCTGCAGAAGTAGATATGGCTGGGAAATGTCTCATACTGCAAAATAAATTACACACTTCACGTGCCATTAGAGACAACATGTTCCCCGATCATAGCTAAGGCTCTGTCATCTGTGTTTCAATCATTTCATCTTGAGTAATAAATCAAGGGGAACTAATGTCAGCCTGCTTCTCCAGTTATTCACAGAAGTGGGACCACATTGCTAGACATTCGTACCCAGAAACAATCAATGTCAAAACGTCTGTTATTCAAATCACATCCTCAAAGATACAAGCTGCTGATTTTGCCTTCACCACCATATCATTTTAATGTGTGCCTTCATGGTTAAATAGGACAGGCTACAAAGCTTGCTCGAAAGAGGCATGACCTATTCCCTGTTCATCACAGTCACAATCCTTTCCCTGTTCATCACAGAGAGCCGGCTGGTTTCATACATATGGAATGTGGTGCTGTGAAGAAGTACAGGGGAAGATGACGGGGAGATCTGACTGTTGCTTTCAGATATCACTTAGATCGGGGGTTTTCAACCTTGGCAACTTTAAGATGTGTGGACATCAACGCCCAGAATTCCCCAGCCAGCATGTGTTTGACCAGCATGTGTTCAACTCCCTAACTCCCCAGCCAGCATGTGTCCCCCAGTGTTTAAAAAA